GCGTTCCAGTGCCTGAGGAACGGCACGTGGTTACTGCTGGACCAGGTGAATCTCTGCAGCCCGGCAATTTTGGATCGATTGAATGGGTTGCTGGAACCGAACGGCGCGCTAACGATCGGCGAGAAGGGTGTCGATGAGAATGGGGACGTGTTCACGGTGACACCTCACAAGGACTTTCGCCTGTTCCTCGCTATGGATCCACGCCACGGGGAGATATCCAGGCAAGTGGAATCGTTTCGATCATCGTCGATATATGATGGTCAAACAATTATTACGATTATTTATTGTAATCCTATTACGATTTATCTATTCGTTTCCTCGTGAAACGATTATTAAAACGTGAATTGCGTAGGGAGCAATTGGATAGAATTTTAAAATATTAAGTTTTTTCGATCGAGAGAGTCTCGCGATGCACTGTGGTTCGATATAATTAAAAGTGGAAGGACGAAATTTAATTTTTTCGAATTTGTAAAGATTCGAATTGTTTCGATGTAACAATTTATAATAATGTATATATAATATATATAATAATAAGTATAATAATAATTATATAACGATATATATATAATAATAATTGTAAAACTGTTGTGCATTAAAATTTTTAATCCTCTTTTTAAACGTTTACAAATTAAATAAAATACGCGTATATAGAGAATTAATCGATAATCGATAATCGATTTTCAACAGTTGAGAAATTAAATGTTAAAAGTGGATGAAATTCATTTTCGAATTTATAAAAAAAATAATTGTTTCGATGTAACGTGTAATAAAACTAGTATATTTTTAATATTATAGTCCATATTTAAAAAACTATAATTTCGTCCTTTTCATTTTTTACTTGAGCATTTATTAATTTTTTTTTCTATTTATATTTATATATTTATATATTCTTTATATATTATTTGTATCTTCTCTTCTATTCTATATTAATTATATTTTTATATTTTATATATATATTTTTAACGAAACAATAAATTATAATAAAAAAGTAATATTCTTTTCCAAAAGTTAAAATAATAAAAAAAAAAAAATTTCGAATCACTGCGCGGCGTTTCATCCGATAACTCGAGTTAGATTATCACCAAATAATAATAATGAATTCGATTTCTTACTTTATTATCTTTATTCTTCTATTGGAAAATTATATAAAATCGTCTCGATTAAAAAATTCATCGAACGCAAATGGTTGATAACATTAATCGTTATCGATCGAGCGCACTGTACGAAATGTACGAAATAACATAATTTCTTTTCGTATATTTCAGAGCTATGCGAAACAGAGGCGTAGAAATTAGCATACTGACTCCTCAAAATCACGGGCCCCTCAATCGATTAGACGTTGTATCTTTGTTGAACAACTGCGGGATCTGGAACTGGGCCCATCGTAATTCGATCCTGGAAATTCATCGATCATTGTACGACAATCGGTACAGATTGAACGAAATGTTGCAAGTTGCTTCGTTCACCAGCCGACAGATGTCGAAGGGATTCTCATTCGAAAGATCGTTGAGGAACTCGTGTCGTGAGCTTTGTGGCACGTTCGACGCGGGATCGAGGCATCAAGCTTGGGGAAAAATCGAGGAAATTTTGTCCGAGAGGAACGAGGAGAACGGAGAACGAGTCCATTTCTGTTACGATCTCGACGCTCTCACGTTGAGATTGCGCGATCTTCGAACGAACTCGAGGCTGGCGATCATCAAGCAGCAAGGATTCCTTTTGAAGTCTGCCGTGGAAAAGCTCAGGTAAAAGGAGAATTCGAAATTTGTTTATTCTTCTACTCGAAAGTGGAAAAGAAAAGAAGAGAAAGGTAAAAATTTTCCATGTCTTTTTCTAGTTTCTTTTTCGTAATATTCGTATTAAAATATAAATCGAAAATGTGGAATAATAATATTTCGTTTTGAGACAATCAATGACGTTATTTTCAAAGTATATATCATTATCATATTGTATCGTATAAAGTTGCCAATTTTAAAAAGAATGACACAATCAAGCGCGACTTGTAAACTCTACTTAACCTATATTTTGTTCGACATATTTTCACATTGTCCTCTTATATCTCCTTTGCGTAATAAGTTCTTTTTGTTGTTGGTTTAACTGTTTTCTGAGAAGCGAACGATACAATGTTATCGAACGAATTTACAATATTATTCCTATATAAGTTTAAGCTTAAACGTCAGCTGAAGCGTATCGAAATATTAGATTAGCTTTCGAGGAGGATTCTATCGACGAGAGGACCGTTCGATGTTTGCTTTGAAAAATTCAAGTCTGGAAATGAGAATCTTGAAAACGTGCCTCGAGATAGACCGAAATTCATATCGAACGAAGATAAGTCGAAAGACAAAGTGGAAGCTGATCCACGAACGAATACTCGCGAAGTTGGACACGTTTCAAACGAGACGGTTTTCACACATTTGAGTGTGCACGGTGAAGCGAAAACAAGTGGAAAAATAGGTGGCGCGTCAATCGACGGAGGATCGAAAGTTGCGGCGTTTGGAAATGCGCTCGTCGCGTAAAGCTTCGTTTTTAAACGGAATCGTAATCTGTAACGGTATATCGCACGATAATCGTACGCGATTCGAACAACAGTTTGACGCCAATGAAAATCCTAAACGTGTGTCGAAGGCATCGTTACGACCGAAAAAAGTCACGGCGACTGGACGGCAGCCCGTAAAGGGAACGATTCGTTGCTCTTTTTCGAATCGAAGAGATACCGTAACGGCGACATTCTACTGCCAAGAAATCGATTAAGAAACAACTCGCATTGGCCGATAGACGTGGACTTGTTTTTGTGCATCGCAAACCACTCTACCAAAAATTAGTCGAATCGAAACACGAAATATTAATATACCCATTCATCATACTCGCCGGGCACTTCGACGATCGAAATGTTTTTAAATAAAATAAAATATTGGACACTCGAGAAATTGGAATCGCAGCATTCGAAGAATTTCTTCGCGCTGAAATCATATATTGTAAGAAAAATGGCAATTTCATGGTCTAATAATTGTAAAAAAATTGAGGATTGTTCTCGATATCCATTAACGTATTTTCTTTTTCTTTTCGTCGAGATTAAGATAAAATTCGAACTATTCGTTAAAAATGATATACGAAGAAACGATATCTTGAATTTTAATTTATTCAAACGAGAGAATCTTTAATGGAACGATTCAACGAGAAATTTGATGAAAATAAGATTGGAGACACTTAAGAAACTTCCAAGTCATTAATACAGTTTCCCCTTTCTCTTTAAAATCTTCATCGCGAGACTTGGTTAAAATGTTCAAAGAGAACAGTAATTTATAACGCGATTCGAAAGACTTATGTTACGAGAAGTAAATAATTATTTCATGTTTATTTCGATATAAAATTCACGAAAAATATTTTTACTCATTTTTTTCTCATTTATACCCTATGCTTGTCAATTAAAATAATAGTATCATTATATTTGAAAATAGGATAAAAATTTCTAACGTGTGGAAAATATAAATATACAATTTCACAAGACCTAACAATATTTTTAATAACGAAATTTCAATTTTTTCTCGATCAAAGAAATCAAAGAATTCGTTTGTTCATTTTTCCAGGGACGATCCAAAGAAAATCGATCTTAGAGATTTGTTCGATGAACCTCCCATCACAGATACAAAGGAGTTTTTGAAACATCTTCTACTCGACTTTTACGAACGTTCTTCCATAGACGATCTACCCATCAGACGATTATGGAGCTCGAACATTTTCTCGAAGAACGAGTTGGACGAATTGGAAAGAATGAACGAATGTTTGGCCAAGAAAGTGGAGAACTCGAAACTTTTATTCGAATCCGGTTCGGACGTTCCATTGTACTTGATCGAACGTTCCACGCTCGCTAATAATTTGTCCATTAAGCTCTACTTTCAATCGATGATTCTCGATCACCAATCGGGAAAAAGTAGAAACGTCACAGACGACGACAAAGATGTCATTCGATTGGAGGAATATTCGTCCGCCGTCTCCTCGGGTGAGTTTGAAAAAAAAATATATATATAAATAAAAAAGAAATAAAATTAACAATTTAAATTAACTTTGCACTACTCCAGCGCCATCACTCGATTCGAACGGCAACAATATTAATTTACGTTCTATCTTTTTAGAATATCGCTTCACAAATAGATTCCTAACCTCTTTACGTGTAATCTTATATAAAGGTTAGAATAATGTACTGTCGAATGGTTTAGATTCTTTTATCTGAAATTAGACCGTGGATCGAACTATATTTTCGGCGTTAGTTCGAGTTCGACAGTGGAATAGAAATATTATTTTCAAAGTGTTTTGTGGAATACGGTAAAATGAAATTAGTTCGAGCGAGAACGACTTTGATTTTTCGTTATTGAAATTGCTTCTATTCGTAAAGAGAGAGGAATGACGAAGATGAAATAAGACATATAAGAGAGTGAAAAATAATAATAAGACAGTGAATGTGATAGATTTACAAGCGAAGATATCGCAGAAGAACTTCCAAATGGATAACGTAGAGAACCCGGAAAATATACAGAAGAAGAATACAATTTGTATTCTTCCGGCGAAAAATCTGCAAGTATCTTCGAATATAAATGAACCATTACATTTTTTAAAACTATTTTTTATTGATGAAATAGTGCGCGAAATATTGCTCTGCTTGCTCTGGCAAACCTGAGGATGCATCTTGGTAATTGCCTCATAAAATATCACACAAAACAACAATATAGACTTTAATATTCATAATAAATTTCTCTTTCTTTAGTGAAGGTGAAGATACGTAAGATATTAAAGTATAAAAGTTTTATGCGCGATTTTCGATTTTATGCTTAAAAATTCTGAATATGCAAATATTATTCTTTAGATATTACGTATTGGTTACGTATTGGTTTCTTAATAATATAATAATATAATATATATTTTTATTCTTTGTTTTCTCTGGAACATTTATATTTTATTATTTCTAGATGTTGTATACTTATTTTTATGAAAATCCGTTAATTTATATGGATCAATTATTGGGAAATAAGAAAAATGAAATAACAATGAATAAGAGAAAACAATACCAAGCAAATGACGATTGTTTAGCAATAAATATATAATCAAATGAGTTGTTTACAATTGTGATATGATAACAAATAATCCTTTCAATGGTGATTTTTGTAAGTGAATCTGTCTTACTATTTTATAAAGCAAGATCCATAGATCCAAGAGATAATTTCAATAGTTTTGTAAAAAAAAGAAAAAAAAAATAACTATTTGGAAGCTAGTTTAGGAAAAATTTATTTTTATCATAAAACTTATTCAAAAAAATATATTTTTTTACATTTATATTTTGCCTATTTAGCTAAGAGCTAAATTATGGTTTTCAAAAGATATGAAATTGATAAAAAGAATGATAAAAAAATAAGCAGCATAAATGAAAACCAATCTGAATCGGATTCTGATATAAAATTCGAATTATGCGAAAGTGAGGAAGAATTTGAAAATATCAACGAAATTGAAGATTGACAACAGTGGTGAAAATTATCGCAATACATACTGTGAAAGAAAAAGAATGCGCATTATTTCAGACACTGAAAGCGAAAGTGAAATAAAAGATGTCGATAATGAAGGAAATACCCTTCAGGATCCTTTCACGTGTTTTATAATTGTTTTTAAATTTGGCAGCCATCAGTGTAGAGTAAACATATCTCGAAAGAATTTTTCTCTTTCAGCTAAAGAATTAGGCAATGACCATCACGACGAACAAAATATTAGCTTCGATTCTACTATATTTGTATTAAATCTAAACAAGTATACAGAAAGTACATTCAAGACAGAGTTTACATGTAAAAAATGTATTTGAAGACAACAGCGAATAAAAATCTATAGATTTTAAATAAATTAAAAAAATAATTTGTAAATAATTTTACAAATAAATTTACAAAAAAATTTATTAAATAAATTTTTTAAATATTAAATATTAATTTTTTAAATAAATTTACAGAAAAATTTCATTTTAATATATCAAAAAGACAAATTTCAGAAAAAAAAGATGTATAATCAATGCCCATATAGTTAATCTAGCATTGAAAGTTATCATAGTAAGAAAACATATCTTGTGGTCCAAAGTTGTTGCTTTCGATCGAAAAAGGGTTGCTTGGAGGGCTTAGGACAAGGAATTAAGATTGAATCCTCTTAATTTTTCTTCCCTTTCCTTTCAGGAAGATTGTCGACCAACTTGAGACACGAGACGTTAATATTGAAATTCGCCGAGGTGACGGAACAGTGTCGAATTATCGTGGACACGATCCTGGAACACGGAGACTTACCGATAGACGATAAAACGTATCTCGAGTTACGGGACGAGTTGAAATGGTACAAAAGATTCCGCGATCAAGGAGCTACGAGATTAGTGGACAGATCGCGTGGCACGTTCTTCGATCTGCGCGAGATCACCTCCTCGTTGACCGTCCATTACAAATGGTTGATCAAATCCTTCCGACGATTGTTCGCCCTCCTCCCTCCCTCCTCCAACCACCACCTCAGCCAACGATTGTCCGATTTTTCCACCCAATTTTTCCACCTCCACAAGGGGGGGGACAAGTATCGAAAATTGCGGAAGAAGATTAAGAACCGCCTCCCCTCCATCCCTTCCCCCCACCTCTCCCACGAACGAATCGCGTTCCTCGAGAAACTGAGATCCGCATCGAGGAAGTTGGAGATGAACGAGGAGGATTCGATCGACTTGTCCAGGACCAGGCTGAAAATCGCCTCGATACGTCACGAGCAGAACTCGACAGCTAGGGATAGATTGATGGGGATGTGGATCGAAGATTGGAGGGGGAACGATTGCTGCGAGGAGGAGGAGATCCATCGAGTGGACGAGAGTATATTGGAGTTGAGGGAGTCAGGGGGCGAGGAGAGTTCGACCAGTTCGTGGAGGGAAGGTGTCGAGCTGTGCCCCATCTACGAGTTCTTCTTCCTAATTTTCGCGTATCGCTTTCAAGGAAGGTTGTGGGACCAGTGCTCGAGGGATCGTCTCGAAGGGGACTTCAAAAGGGGTTGGAAAATTTGGGAGGAGGGCACGTTGAGGATATTCGAGGGGGTGGCGACGATACCTGCGCGGTTGATCGCCTTGATGACGGCCCTGAACGAGGAGGCAACTCTGAAGGAAAGGAAGGTCCCTGCTTTGCTCCACGAGTTGTTCAACGGGGTCGAGGATTTTACGGGGCGATCCTTCTCCGCTGGGAACTCGAACGTTTTTCTACGCTGTTTGCGCGAGAACGAGGAGGAGGGCTGTGATGATTTCCAGGTAATTTTTTTTTGTCTTTTATATCGGGTGGGCAAATAAGTTCTTTCCAAATTTAAGGTTTTATTATCAGTGAATCGAGTACCCTAGTTCTTATATCCTCATCTGGTGTGAATTATAAATTTCATCCCTGAGGAATGATGTCTGAGGCTGTAGGTTATGAAGTCGTTGATGCATTTTTGGATATCTTCTTTTGGGGAAAAAGAAATTTTTCATGAGAAACTCTTTTTGTTTTTATAGCTTCTTACAATTGTGTTTGAGAATTTAGTTGACATTTGTGATTGTATATTTCTGATGTAGTTCAGCCCAACCTACATTTGAGATATATTCTTTCAATTCAAAGATAAATAACATTGTTCTTTGTTGGAGGAATCTACAGTAAACATTCAAATGTTTATATTTGCAATTTTTCATGAACATTGATTCATAAATAATAATGAGATCTTTTGATTAAAATTTTATTGTAAATATATATTCTTTGGATAATAATTCATTAATATTTACATGTTAATATAAATTCTTTTTAATAATCATTTTTTTAATAAACTGAAAAAAATTTTCACATACAAACAAATATAATTATAGTAATGATATGCATATACACATGGACAAAAAGCTTCCAATTCATTTGAACTCATGATCTAAAGTTTATTAAACACATTAAGTTAACAAAATATTACATTGATTCATAAGTAACAATGATTTCTAATAACAATGAGATCTTTTGATTAGAATTTTATTATAAGTATATGTTCTTTAGATAATAACCATTCATTAATATTTATATGTTAATATAAATTCTTTTTAATAATCATTTTTTTAATAAACTGGAAAAAATTTTCACATACAAACAAATACAAGTAATTATAGTAATGATATGCATATACACATGGACAAAAAGCTACCAATTCACTAGAACTCATGATCTAAATTTTATTGAACACTTAAATTAAAAAAATATAATAAACTGAAAAAAATTTTGTCTCAAGTTTCACATACAAACAAATATAAGTAATTATAGTGATATACATATACACATGGATATAAAGCTATTCATTTGAATTCATGATCTAAATTTTATTGAACACATTAAGTTACAACAAAATATTACATTGATTCATAAATAACAATGAGATCTTTTGATTAAAATTTTATTATAAATATATGTTCTTTGGATAATAACCATTCATTAATATTTATATATTAATATAAATTCTTTTTAATAATCATTTTTGTAATAAACTGAAAAAAATTTTGTCTAAAGTTTCACATACAAAAACAAGTAATTATAGTAACCAATTTTATTTTATTTTATTCACACCATACAGAAACATTCCATAATACAACATATATCAAAAAATTGGTATCCGTAACTTGAAATTTATTAATAAATAATAAAATGCATATTATTATTTAACTGTTAAAAATGAATTGAAAAAAAGAAAAAAGAAAGTTCTTTATTATCCCCCAATTCTTTTCCAGACGAGTCTCGTGAACAAATCGACGCTTTGCCATCTCCTCTACGAACTATTCTTCCCCGGCCGAGGGGAGGGCGCCACTTTCGGGAACCACGAGAGCAGAAACAAATTGCTACGCACCGTT